AATCGTGGCCCAGGCCCCTTTGAGGCCTAAAACCTGTAAGCTAAAGAAGCTTGACCCTAAACGCAAGAAGCTTCCCAGAAGCTAGACCCTTAACCCAAGTAGCTTCACCCTAAACCCAAGAAGCTTGAGGGTTTAGGGTCAGCCCTGAGGGCACCAAATAAGGTTTATTAACTATAGGTAAGAGAATGTTAAAAATTACATTGGAAAAGCGCAGGTACGTTTTCACCCGGGTGGGGGGCGTCTTCATTGGCCGGAGACCCCCCACCTGGCTCCGGCCCCCTGCTTGGAAACATCGGAACCCTTAGGTACAGGGGTGACACACACACATATCTATACCAGGACCCTCCAAGGGGTGTCCAATGGACTACCCCACACTACCTATAGGCTTCCATTGGGCACCCCTCAGAGGGTTCTGGTTATATACGGTATCATATATAGCTCTTGCGACGACGTCGACTGGTCGACTCTTTGGTCGTGCCGTGGAACCCCTCATGCAGAGAGAGATATATATATATACATATATACCCCATTTGACCTCTGTTTTGATAGGAAAAGACTATGTTTTGGCTCCAAAACAGGGGTCAATCAGGTTCTAGGTTTATATATCATGCACACAAAGAGTAGATTGCTTCATATCCTTTTTTGGTGGTTGAAAGTAAGGGCTTGCTAATTTACTGCCTAGCTGTCCTTCAGCTCACCGAGCTACACTCCACTGATACGTGGAAGCCAAGAAGTTGAAAAGGCATATACCAGGGCCCCCTAAGGGGTGTTTGATTATAGCTCCTTAAAGGTTACCGCCCCAAACCGGGGGCCGGGCCCTGGTATACTTTGCTTTGGAACTGCTTCTTCAAGATGTATGTTTTCGTGGAGAGTAGGTCTAGCTGTGTCACAGGTCAGACCTGATAGACATCAGTTCACCCTGTCAACCGGACAAAGCTTCAATTGGATTGAACGCTGCCGTGCCAGCCGCCAGCCGCCCCACAGCCGGTCCCCCGGCGCGTTGTTCGCAGCACCTGAGGAGTGAACGCCTTTCCGTTGGACCACGTCTTAGGTGCGTTGAACCGGTCGGTGGTGGACTATTGGAGCTTGGATACGGAGGGAAGCGAGCTTCAGATCTTGAAGGGCTCAGGGTGTCCTGGAAGAATTAGAGAGATGAAACCGTTGTTCCATCTTGAAGAGGCACCATGGAACTGCCAACCCAGCTGCGGTTTTGGAGCCAAAGGGTCTAGAGGTGGCTTACTTGCGCCACCAATGGATGTTTCAGACTTCCTGTAAGCCAAGTGTACCATGTCCACATATCTCTCCCATTTGGCCATACTGGGCCATACTCCATTTGTACAATGTCCACATGTCACGAAAGGTAGCTTGAGCTACCTGAGTTCTCCTTGCTTTAGCAAAAATGTATTACAATCTGGAGTTGGTGATTGCGCATTGAACTTGGTCCTGTAAAGAATGATTCTGTTCGACGGTCATTCCCCGCCTGCGCCGGGTCACATCCGTCCACCTTTGACGCCGTCATGGACTTCTACCAGGGTTACTTGTGATTGCCTGCTACCTTTCGTTCACCCCTCCTCTCTCAAGTCTATAGATACTTGTTGCTCCTAGCCAGGTGAACCCACTGCACATGATCTGCCAGCCTTTTGGGTGGGTCTTTTTTTTTCAACGGAAGTCCTCATCCGAAAAATGCCTCCTCAAGACTCTTGGCTCGATTCCGAAGTGGTGGTGTATATCGAGGTTTGCCCAAAGTTGTCTTTGGGGTATTGAATATTGAGCCAGCAGCTCAAAAAAAAAACGGTGTAAACTCCCCAAAGATGCAGCAGATTTGTTTGCCTGGGTGCAGGTTTCAGTACCAAGAGAGTTGTGGAAAGCCGACTTTTGTGGTGAGAAAACACCAATCTACCATGATTTTGCCACATGTTTTGGGTCATTGATATATGTTAGGAGCCCGGGAATTCGTCAACGCCTTGTTTGTTTGTTTGTTTGTTTGTTTGTGTGTTTGTTTGGGTAGTGTTTGCGTTGGGTTGTGTTTGTTTGTTTGGTTGGTTGGCAGGTTAGTTGGTTGGTTGGCTGGTTGGTGGATTGTTTCTATTTGTCGGCTTCTTTTGTTTTCTTGTTCTCGTGATGCTTGGTGTCCCACCAGGTTGGAGAACATCGAGCTGGGTGTTCTCACGGTGGAGCACAACAACGAGATACTTGGATGACGGTCGACAGCGATTTTTCCGGGTTTTGCGGATCAGGCGATTGTATGTGTTCTTCCATATAGAGAGAGAGAGCCCCTTTTGGTGAATATGTTTTCCGGTTTCTCAAGCAAATCCAAGTGTTGGAGTTGTGTCCAGCACTAGGTGCAAGACTTAGATGGGCAGGGAACCGTGGGGGCTTGGATCATCTTCCAGATGAACTAGTGATTGGAAAGGTGATGCCTTTGAGCGCGGGGGTGAAGAGGTTTTGCTTGCTTGGCTGAGGAAAGAAAAGAGGGATGAAATCAAAGAGTTCCTGCAACAGCACGGGATTCAGCGAGTCCGTGCAGGAGGGCAGGATGATTTCTATGCAAATCCGAGCTATTTTCACCGGAGAGGCTGGCCTTTCCCTGAGACTTCGAGTCCCTGACAGCTGACAGCGCTGCAGCCGTAGCCTTCACATGAAGCAAGGGTGATCCTGATGAAAGCTTAGCTGGACCAAAATACTGCATACACACTGCCTGGAACTGACATTGAAGTGGAACATGGCCCCTGGGAAGCCCATTTTCCTCTACACAGCGGGTGCCATCCACTTCCATGTGAATTCCAGCAAAAGTATGACCTTTCCCTCTAGATCAAGGAGGCGGTGGACTTCTTTCATCAAGAAACCCGCGGTGCTCACTCTAAGAGACAAAGCTTTCTTTGTCAGATTGGTCTTCTTCACAGAAGATCGATCGAACAAAATGGACCGCACGGTGCGCAGCAAAATGGGCCGATCTGTCGAGCCATCCTGCAGCCGACCCCGCCGGGGGCCACCTGGGTTCGTCGGAAGTCTCGTGATGACGAACGGGATGTGATGCCAAACAGAAGACAGAACGCGGCAAGAAACGCCCACATGCCAGCTTCTTCAGTACGTGACCTTTTGAAGGTTCCTAAGTGACCCTTAGGAGGCTCGTTCGTGACCTCAAACTAGGTTATCAAGTTCGGTCACTTTGAAGAACCAGGTGGACAACATGGCTCTTTGTCGTTTGGCTGTCAAAAGGTTTGATCCTGGCACCTGCACGGCTTAGCCTGATTGTTTCCCCAGTGAGGCTTACATGGTGCCCTAGATTGGAGCAATGGCTGCATGCTTCCCCATGATTCTTGTTGGATGCGTCGCATTCATTTTTTACATGCGAATTTGCCCAGTTGATGTTGAACATCTTCAACTTTTGGGGATAGAACCGTGGAAGATCATCCTTTAGAAGACCAATGTCTTTAGCTTCCTCCCTTCGTCCGAGAGACCATGAACCCGCTTGGTTCAGTTCACCTTCGCTGGGACGGGCAGTTGCAGGCCGCTGCTGCCAGCGCTTAGCAGCACCTTTCGAGAAGGCCTGTCTACGCCAAGAAGGGGGAGCGGAGCGGCTGGTGGGGAGCAGCGGCTGAGGTGGCTCTAAGCCGAGGCTGCGAAGAGTCAACATGTTCATGTTTATGTTGACTTACATGCACATGCCAGTACCTCAAGGTGATGGTATGGAGGTCACTGTGGTGTTCATTAGATCAAGGAGTCCGTGGATTGGACGAGAATTCACGCTGCCGGACGCTGGGGTGCCTTCCCGGCAAGAGGGTGTTGACCTTGATGATCTCCCACCCAATGCCTCGTGCAAGGGACTACTGGTGAAGGGACGTCCACCCTCTCTCTTAGGTGTCTCCTCAACCTTCTCTCAGACAAGAATCTCAGTATTCAGCTGATGCTGTCTTCAGTTGATGGAGTTCCACATTCTTTGGTCACATTCTCACATTGGCTACAGCCGTGAAGCGGTCGATGCGGTCTTGATAGCACTAAGCAAGCCCGAGCTCTATGCAAGACAGCACTGTCTTCCATTCAACGACTACCATGTTGTTGGTACACTCCCCGAAAGAATCATTGGAATACTCATGGACGAGGGTTTAATGCCCCCGTGGGTTCTTCCTTGTATGTTCAACCTGGTGCTTGGGATGACTTTTCACCCACTGGTTCTCATATGTTACATGCAACTGAGTTGAAACCACCAACCAGCCTGAAAGGTACTGTAGACCTTTCTTATTGCCATGTGAATATGTATATATATATATATAGGACATTGTGATTGTCCGAGAGCACCCCATTGGCTGCAAACCATTAAGAATGCGTGGTGCCCATGGTAGTTGCCGTGGGGCCTTTGTGGTCAATGGCGGACTAAGAATGAATCCATCCCCAGACGCTCCATGTGTGATATATGCCTACATTGGGGTGGTTTGAGGGGTCAATGTAGGCATATATGGCAGTCCCATGGAGCGTCTGGGATCAAAATTGCTTGGATCCATCTCATGGATCAGCTCCACCCAGCTCTGTCCGCGCTTCCAACATCGCTGACCGCACCAACCTGCCCGCCGTTCCGTGGAACACCGTGCTTCCAAGCACCGACTGTACGGTGCTAAAGCGCCTGGGTGTGAATGCATGCTACTAAGATGTCAAAGGTCAAGACCTTCCACAGGTCCCTTGCATTATATTATCTAACTATAGTGATAAGGTTCTAGAATACTTGAACCTTCATCAGTACTATTTGGATGAATCGTGGTCTCATGGGATTTCCCAAATCCTCAACACTTTCAGACCTTCCCTTCGCCCAAGGCTCTTGGCGTGGCACGGAATTTTGCCATGAACACTATTCATCAATTATTCATGATCAGGAGGGTCTTCTGGGGTCATTCAAACGTTTGATGGAATACATCCCAGTCCCAGCCCCACGTTTTTCTGCGAAAGTTCGGCACGTGCAGGACGGTCCCTTCAGCGAACCCAAAACTAAGAGTCCAGGCTGCCTTAGTGAAGATCAATTGCCAACCACCTGGCAACCTCCATTGGCGCACCCCCGCTGCTACTCCGCCCCCCGTCGGCGCGGCTTGCGATGATGGAAATGGAGGAGCTGAAGGAGGACGGTGCAAGCATCCAACCTCGAAGGGTTGCTTGAAATTGTTAGCTCCAACTAACTACCTGTAAACCCTCATGCACCCTCCCAAGCCACTGGGTCCCTTTGGGACCTACAAACAGCCCGTTTCTTTCTCTCTGGTCAATGCCATCTTTCTCTCTGGTCAACCACCAGCAGTTCCATGTCGGAATGGTTTCGTTCGTCCCTTCCAAAGTGAGTGGATGTGACATGAGCATCCCGACTTCCTCCAACTCCGGCACCTAACTCCATGGTCTAGGGATCCAGTCGTACCTTCTCAGGTACGGTGATGTGTTCGACACTCTTATGTGGCTTTTGAGGGTCCAGTCGTACCAAACCGGGTCGGTTCGGTACGAAAACGGATCCCTGGGGCATGGAAGTGCTGGCATGTGAACGGTCGGACCTCTGGACGAAATCAGGGGCCGAACACCTCGAACGAGGACACGAACGGCCCGTCGAACCCCGGGCGCCACGTGACCCGAAAACGGCACCAGCTTCGGACCAGTACGTGGCCGGTTCCTTGAAGGTTCCTTGACTCGTGACCCTAACCGTCCCGTCCCGTCCGGGTTCCGGCTGGTTCGTGACCGAAGCAAGCAGGTGATCAAGTACGGTCACGTACTGAAGAACCAGGCAGGTGGAGTTGATTTGCCCAGAGATTCGGATTGACTTGGACCCTCCCTGAGAACCATGAAGTGGAATACAGCCTCCACTGTTCGTGGATGGCACCGTCTTCCTTTTGGGGCCATGTTCCAGGAGGGTACATCATGTGTTCATAGTTGTTCCCATGATGTCTGACCTGCTGGCCTTTCCAGGAACTGCGGCAGCTCCGGGTGTCCTTCCGGGAGGATTTGCGACAGGAGCTGCTTGCCATCGATCTTGGATGGAGGTTTGAAGGGTGGCCTCAACTGGAGGTGCAGATGTGGATCAGGTCACACCTGGGGATGGGGGAAACCAAGAGAGGTCAAGCGACCGTAAATAGGAGCCGTCACCTGTGCAATCTCATGCGCAGGATGTTTGATGCACTTGGTCCATCCAATGCGTGCTGTTCTGCTTCTTCGCGAACTAAATGAACAGAAGAGAATGGCATGTGATATGTTGTTGAACCTTTCAAGCTTTCCTGTAGGGCTGCACCCAAACTGGGAAGCTGCCCTGGAAGCGCTTCGCTTATTGGAGCTACTCCGATCGCCCCTTTCCACTGGCGAGGCTCCGAACCCGTGCCGCGAAACACCGTCCGAGCCGAGGTTCCGAACGCAGGAAGCCAAGTTGAAGGAGCTGCTGAAGGGACAGGTCCGGGAGCTGCGCCAGTGATCCGTTCGGCGCCGTTGTGCGGGAGCCGGTCTGTTAGGATGAACACGGAGGGAGCAGCTCGTCTCAGTGTGGGGTCACTAGTGTATGTGTGTGTTTTTGGTGTGTGTGTGTTGGTCTCCAAAAGACAGATGGCCCGTGGCGGCGCCAGATATATATATATATTTGTTGGGGAGACAGAATGGATCGCATGCAGAAAGATGGTAGTGTGTGTTGCTTTTGGAATTAGGATGACGTTCTTGCTTTCATTTCTGGGTTTGTTTTTCAATAGAAAACAATTTCACGTAAGTTTCACTCTCAATGCTGTTCCAGGTGTCAAGGTGTCACGGTGTCATCCACTACTTTCTCCGGCGGCATTGGCCGGCTGACCCACACTTCCTTGGGCAATTGTGGTTTCTGATGTCTTTGACAATGGCCCTCCTGCAAGAACGGTAGCGGATCCCTTGGGAATCGGGAATGTAAAGAACAGCTCTTCACGAAGCCTTTGAGACTTAGTGCAAGGAAGAAGCCCTATAGGGCTCCAACTATCGCCTGAGAAGGTGGTTTCGGGGTAGCTTTGGGGTTCTGACCACCTTCCGCGGATCTAGTTGGAGCCCTAGGAAGCGAAGAACTTAATAAACAGCCACAAACGAACACCGACGAGTGACACCGATTTCCACCCCCCCCACGCCGCGGACCGCTGGATGACACCTCGCTCCAGGCAGTGGTCGCACAATCACCAGGCTGGTCCAACTCCAATGCCCCTTCCAAGGACAGTGCTCGTGACCGTGGGAGGCTGGGAACCTGGCAGAACTCTGGTTTTTTCAGGTCTAGTGTTTACAGAACCCCCCACTGGTAGATAGAACATAGTATAGATCCCCACGGAAAATGTATTGGACACCGGGCCACTATATATTGGGGGATCACATGGGATCACTATATAGAGCAATATAGAGCAAAAATTAATGTTTTTTCTCAGAAACAGTCCAAGATGTTGGCCTTTTTCATTCAGAAAATGCCAACCAAAACAAGTTGGCATAGTTGGAAGATGCTAGAATTAGTAGGACATTTTGATATATATATATATATGTGCATGTGTATAGCACAAGGTTCACTCAAAAAACTTGGAGGATTTCAATGAAGATGATGGCTGAGATGGCTCAAATTGTGTGGGATTGCTCACCACCCTTACCCTTCAGGCCATCCCAACAGATCTGAATCGTGTTCAAAGCTTCCAGTCGCCGAATATTTAATTGGGATGGGCCCGTCGC